GTAGGATTTGTATGGGAAGATAAAATCAATGTTTAGAAAACACTAATTCAAAGATAAATCAAGCATGAAATACAAACACTTGCACACTCGCATCTCTAGGGTTAACTCCACTTGTTGCCTTATGAGAAATGGTCATGTTATGCATGTGAGACGTCTTAGAAAAAAAACAATCAAAATACAAGATCATAGTCCCTCGATGACACTTCAAATGTTGCCTTACAAATGAGCTTAGCCCCTCAAGAGAAATGCTAAGATATCTCACAACATTGCTATCATGACTATACGATGACCCACGCCCGTCTCTTTACATCCAAAGATAAAGCTTTTTACAAATCAATGGTAAGATAGCAACATCTAAAGGAGGAGGAGAAGAACACTAAATACCTTTTGAGTAGGTAGGATGCTCCTAGTTACTCGCTTGCTCACAACAAAAAATATTTTATACACCAACACTTTCATTTTGAAACATTTTCAAAATACAAACATTTTGTATGCGTTTTTATAGAGGCGAGAACCATTATAAAGACATTTTCAAAATACTTTCAAAATACACAAGCACATTTTCAAACAAAAGCAAGTGATCTAGCAAGAAACTAAGAGCCCATAGATAACTATGGATGAAAAAGATGATAACACATTCCCTTTTCATAATTTACTCCCCGAACTCAAGAAAGTAATCTCAAAGGTCTTTCCTGTTTTTTTCACCCTTTCCTTTATTGGATAAAAAAATTCGGTGGTGACTCTTGCTATTCGCAACAATTGCGATCAAACGCAAAACATCCCAAGTCAGTTCTTCCACCGTATTACAGAACTGACAACTCTGTTGGGGATTTACTTAAAAGTGGGTTTACCTTAGAGTTATATCACATTTACTTGCTTTTCTTTGTTTGACTTGTTTGCTTTATATTATGGATCCTTGTTTGGGCTTGTTTTGATCCTCTACCCGGATCTGGGGCACCTTTTTAGGTAAGTAGCAATATATTGTAGTTGAACACTAGATCAGTGAATGATATCTCTATCTCCTTAGCCAAGTCTCAAACTTTGATGGTATTCTCAATTCCTATGTAAGCTTCATCTCAGACTTTGGAGAATCCCAAAATCCTATCAAATTCCTCCAAAGTAGGTTAAAATTGAAAATTCTAGAAAGTGAAGCACCTTAGTGGTGGGTCATAGAATTGAGCAATGACAGTAATAGCTTCCACTTGTACAATTATTTTTGTGAGATCAATAATATCACTATAACAACAAACAAATACCTTCATAGTTTTTTTGGGGAGTTTCCCTCTAATCAGCTTGATCTTCTTCATATCTGGAATCATGACGCTAATGCGGATGGTTGGTTTCTTATTAGTATTCATTTTCAGGATGCTCACCAAAAACCTTTCTTCTTTTTATTATTTTTAAAGAAATCCTGTGAATAAGACAAAATAAATGCAAAAATGAATATTTTAAAATGTAAAATGCATGTATGAATGGTAATGTAACATGGTGGTGGGATGATAAGGGTATCCTTAGTGAGTAAGTTCATAAGTTTGTCCTATGAATATTATATCCTCCCCATAAGGGTGGCTTCCTTAAGCGTATCATAGATAACACTATAGGGAAAAGACACAAGGGCCTCCCTTAAGTGAAACCTTTTTGTAGACCGAGACTTTCGTCTCGTAGATCATACAAGGTCTCACCATGAGATTTTATTTTTGGTTATACAAAGAGTCATTGGTCAAACCCAAAGTCCTATCTCCAAGAGAATCTAGCCCCCTAAAAGATATTTTTCAGAATTCGACCCACTTTAGGCGAAGTCGTCGCAAAAACTCATAAGGATGTTAAACCCTTGACCAATTGACAATCCTTCTTCTAAGGTTTAATATTTTTGTTACAACAAAATCTCACCAACAATATAAATAATATGATAATAAGTAAAATAACAATAAATAAACAAATAAACAAATAAATATGGAAACAATAACATGCCATAAATAAATAAAAACCCAAAAACCCAAGACCTAAAAGGAGGGTCGACTCTAACCCTAGGACCGTGTCCCCGACAGAGTCGCTAGCTGTCGTAATCGATAAAAAATATGAATCGCCACCACTACTTTTTGTCATAAGGACGTGAAAAGAACGAATAACCCTAAATTTTAGAGATTATAGAATCGCAAGTTTGTTAGATAAAGGGAAGGTGTTATGCATCCTTTATCTCCCTTGTTCTCAAGGGGCCCCCTATTTAGGTTAAGGACTCAGTGAGATTTTCTACTTAAGGTATGTTACTATCATGTGTATATGAAAAGGATTAATTTTTTAGTTATATGGCTCGTCTTGGTTTTAACCGCGTGCCTACGTATTCTCTTGTGAAGAAATCAGAGTCCATTTCGTAGTTTGTTATGTGTTTGGTTAATTTATTTATAGGATTGTGTAATTGCTTTCGAACGATCTTTTGAAATTCGTTCATGTTTAAAAGTTGCATAGTCGTAAACATAGTTTAATGTTTTAATTTGAAAGCAAGTGCACAATCCTCTTTTTTGAAAATAATAATGAATTTTGAATTAAGTTAGTAATTTTTTTTTGAACTTGGTTAGCTATTTTAAATGCATGATTGATAAAAATAATTGAAGTTAGTAAAAATTGTTTGAATTAATTAATATAAAAATGAGTTAGTAATTTAGAAAAATATTATAATTATAAAGTTTGTTATAATATGTTTATTTATCAAAATAAATTAAATATTTATAATAATATCATAAAAGAAAAATGATTTAGAAAAGAAAATAAATCAAATAAATAAGTCAAAGGTAATAAATTAATAAACCAAAAATTAAATAAATTAAAATTTTAAAATAAAATAACAAGGGGGTCTGTATTTGGTTTGAACGTAGTAATTTAGCAGAGTGTGAATAGCAGAGGGTTAAGCCCATGTATATGTTGGAGCCAAAAAGCGCAAGGGGTGCGATTCTAGTTTGTTAAGAAATCATGAGGGTGCGAATAAGAATGGGCCTAGCCCAAGATAATGTTTTGAGTCTGTGTGGGGAGGCATAAGGTGCTATGGTGTGATCCACGCTTCCAGGACGTTCGATCTCGATCACATGGCCTCCAGAGGTTAACTCTGGAGTGTTGATCAAAAGTGGCACAAACGAAAGATCCAGATTGAAGTTTGATTAGGGAGTAGCATGGAATTGAGCGTATAGAGACTGGTCAACAGTCTCCACATCCCATGGTTGGCCAACACCCACGTGTTGCTCATCTGATGTGTGTGTGTGTGAGAGAGAGAGAAAGAGAAGTATTTGAACAAATTCATCACCATTTGTTTCATTTTTCTCTTCTTCGCTCTCTCTCCTCTCTTAGATTCTCTCAAATTCTCTCCAGATGACAACCAACATTGGCCCGCTGAAAATCTCCCCATCGGCGGCACCACCCAAAAATCCACCATTATTCCATATTTTTGATTGAGTATCAACCGTGAAACTCAACCAAGCCTAGAAAATAACATGAACCCTAGGAACCTCTTTTAGAATCCTAACCCTCCATAGTGGACGACCGTTGAGGTCGCTGTCTTAGCTGCAAGTCTGCCAGGGACTTTATCTGTTTCTGGAAATCACAAGAACCCTAACAATTTAAACCCTAACCCCTAAGAACCCTAGCCCAGAACAAAGGAAAGGATGGACCATAACCCTAAGCCATATGAACACTAACCCTAAACCTACGAACCCTAACCCCAAACAAAAACCCTAATCTCCAAAATTCCAGAAATTCAACAACATTACAGCAGTCAAAGCAAAATCCTAAGCTAAGTGATTTAGGCTTACCGTTCATGTAATGATACTTTTTGTAATTTCTTTTTAATCCCTTTCTCGCTCTCGTTCTAATCCTCTTTTTCTGTTTTGGTTTGCAGGTACAGGGATGATGATGAACACGCAACAGAGACTTCAATTTCTCTTTCTTCTTATTCTTCTCCAATCTCCAAGTTTCGGTCCTTGGTTTAGTTTTAGATTTATGTATTTATAAGCTTAGGGTTAGTATAAATTAGGAAATTAGTTAGTCTGATTTGCTGTTATACATTAGATTAACTTAGATTGATTTGTAAATTGATTCAATTTGATTTGATTTGTAAATTAGGATTTATTAATTTTTAGAATTAGGGTTTTGTAATTGCAATGCATCTGGACGCTTTTGAATACCAATTCATTCAATCAATAAATATATCTTTTCAATCTCTGATTTCTTTTGATTTATATTTATGTAATTTGAGCCTTAGTATAACTTAAGGATGAAGAAGGTGCTCTTGAGCGCAATTGAAATTAGGGTTGAGGAACTCTAAAGTTGACCTGAGTCAACTCTGCCTCAAAATAAAATAATTTAAACAATAATAATAAAAATGAAATAACAATGAATAATATTAATAAATAGTTGACTCTAGATCAACCGAACCATTAAATAAAGAATATATATATATATATATATATATATATATATATATATATATATATATATATATATATATATATATATATATATATATATATATATATATATATATATATATATATATATATATATATATATTAACAAAAAAAAAAATAAGATAAGAAAAATGACAAAAGTATAATTAATTAATTAATTAGTAAATATTGACTTCAGTCAATCAAACATATAACTAAACTAAAAACAAAATTAATCTCCATCCTCCAAGTGGGCTTCCCAAAAGAGACTCTAATCCCCCCTTTAAATAATTTGAATAATGAATCCAAAATATGACTAATAATTTTCATATGAAATAAATCTCCCTCTCAAAATTAATTTCTACTATATTTAAATAAAAAATTTAAATAATTGTTAGCATTCATGAAAATATAATTTTAAACAAATGTACTGATAAAATAAATTGATTTGTGATATGATGCTAAATTTCATAGGGTGCAAGTGAGTTGGAAGGTTTAGAAGAGAAGGCATAGGCTAGTGAAGCTTGAAAGACTTGAAGGAGGAATCTGTACGCGCTGGCGCGGTTTATGAGAGAAAGTATTTGCTTGGAACCGCAGCAACCCGCCCTGTCATTGCAAAGGTATATTTCTTCTTTAATTTGAGATTCTTGCTATCACTCTAGTGGTTCTGTAGGGTTGAGTTAGACACGAGTGAGTAAGAACTTCCATTTTGATATCTATACAAAGTTGAACGTACAAGAATATATCTCATGATTTGTTCACTCTAAGCCCTCATCTAACTTGATATTGCGTTGGAGCTGATGCTGTCTCCCATGGTTGTACCGGGAAAGAAAATGATCAGGCATGTATTATTATTATCATTAGTCTTGCGTCAACTCAGCATGCTAAATCTTGTGGCTCCGTGGAGAGACTGGGATATTACAGGGAGAGAATATGCTATTGAGTTTGCTAAGAAGCATAACGTACCGGTTCCTGTAACCAAAAAATCTATATATAGCAGGGACAGGAACCTTTGGCATGTAACAATTTGGATGATCCGGCCAATGAACCTAAAAAGGACTTGTACATGCTGACCTCAGACCCTCAGGATGCTCCGAATCAACCGAGGATGCCGCTTTCATTTGTATTTCGTTTAGATGATTACGTGTCTGTGTTTGTGTGTTTTGATTGTTCTTAGAAAATGTGTATGGAACCTTTTCTATGATGAGAAATAAATGAGGAAAAGTTGATTTAAATTGAGCTATTTATTTCAAAAATTAGTACATTTAGATTCATACTAGATCTATTTCAGTATTGTCATATAGCGCCAACGCGATAGCGACGGCGATATAACATTAAGAAGCAACTGTCACTGATGTAGTGAGTGTGTCAAATTCTGTGATCACCATCAGCTGTTCTCTGGACTTGAGTAGCATACTGCAAGTTCCAAAGAATATCCTCGATCGATGGTCGACTCCATGGCTCGGTAGAAATACATTTGTTGGTTATAGAAATCACAGTTGATAGAGATTCTTTGCAGCAAGTAGCTTGCACAACTGGATCCACTGTTTGTTTCCAGTCATCTTGATTATTGAAGGAAGCCTGAAAATGAGAGTATGCTAATTAACTATCTTAGCAAGTATATATAAAGCACTTTTGTAAATGTCTGGGAGCTTATTTTAATAAGTAGATCAGGATAAGCAATTAATTAAGCTTCTGTAATTGGAAGGTTGCAAGTATCAGGTGATTTGAGCATGTTTTATGCATACCATTGCATTTAGAACAGTTGCTTCTCTTTTAGTTGACATTGAAGGTCCAACAAGTGCCTCAAGTAATATGAATCCAAAGCTATAGATATCATCCTCTAACTTTTTCGTTTGCCTGAAATTAAACATGCTGAGAACCTTAAGAAATGATGACTCACAAGAACTTTTCAACTACTGATGAAACCATGTGATTTTTTGGAGTCCTTACCATGAATTTGGGCTTTCACCTTTTACCTACAAACCAAAAAACATGTCATAAACACTGATGAAGATAGAGAAGCTATTGCAAGCACCAAATCAGACTTGAACGCTGAACACGACAGTGACATGTCGACACCGATAATAATTTGAGAAAATAAAATATGTGAACATAATCAGATGTGAGTGTTGGACACTAACGTGTGTCAGACGCCGGACATGCTTTCAGTCTGGGTCGGACACTAATGTGTGTCAGAAACTAACATGAGTCAGACACTAGACACGTCTTCAATCTGAAGTGTCAGTCATGCCTTCAGTCGGAAGTGTCAGAGACACTAGACACGTCTTCAATCTGAAGTGTCAGTCATGCCTTCAGTCGGAAGTGTCAGAGACACTAACACGTGTCAGACACCAATCTTGTCTTCAATCTGATGTGTCGGACACACGCTAACACGTGTCAGACATCAAACATGTCTTCAGTTTAAAACTAACACGTGTCAGACACCGAACATGTCTTCGATCTGAAGTGTCAGTGATACATGCAAGACCACCGATATGAAAAAGCCTAGGAGAAAAGAAAGAGAGGAAAGAAAGCATACCTCACTTGCATCAGTTTCTTCTGAGATAATGGACAATCCATAGTCACTCAACTTTGCTATAGAATTTTCATTAAGCAAAATGTTGTTGGTTTTAAGTCTATTTTTGAAGAAACCAGGTATCATTCCAGTGTGTAAGAAGTGAACTGCCTTAGCAACACTGATAAGAACTGATAATCTCTCTGACCAATTGAAAATCTTCCCTGAACTATCTCCTGAACATACAAAATAACCAAACTTAAATCGAATGCACAATACAATAAACAGTTTCATAAACTCTGAACAAGCATTACACTTTACCTGAGAGATAAGTTTGGAAATTCCCATTTGACACGCATTCATAAACAAGAAACACCTTCGAGTCGTTACGCTCGCCTAAAATACCATCAATGCAGTGTCCCAAAAGAGACACCAAATGCGCGTGGCGAAGCTTTGCAAGCAAATCCAGCCTCAGTTTGAAATTCCGAACCGAGTACTTTTTCGACAAAGGTATGCATCTTATCACCACAGGTATCCCACTCTCCAGTTTCCCTTTGTACAGCTGCAATATCAGTTGAGAAATTTCCATTAGCATCATCATTTTTTCCAAGAATATTTTCACCACAGATATATTAAATTTTGATACTACCTTCCCATATATATTTTCGCCAAGAAAAGTAGAATTGTCAAAGTTATTCGTCGCATTCATAAGCTCTTCCAACGAATATGATCGACACGAAGGAAGATCTTCTCTTCCTAACTTTGCAGCTTCAGAAACATACCCTGAAAGTATTAACCAAAATCCAAAACTTACCTCAATGTTCATAACCGGTTTTATTTTAAAACTGTCGAATATCATGAATGAAGAAAAACTTACTTGCATTTGCAATAAGTTCGGATGAGAATCCGGCTGTATAGCTATCTTGAACTGATTTATTCAATAGGTGCTGCTCCGAAATCCCCTTAGAGTACAACCATTTACAAGTAAAAACAATGCATAAGCCCAAAAGCACAATGATAACAAGAATTCCAACAATGACGCCAACGAAAACTCCAAATCGATACGACTTCGCCTTTCCACGAGCTTCTGCACAATAGGATACTTCATGTTGATGCTGCAAACTTCCAGATAAACAGTTTCCATCGCTCTTAACGATTCTATTTTCTGACTCATTTCTTAGAGAAGAAGGCAAAGCTCCAACGAACTTATTGTTTGATATATCAACAAAACTAAGATTTTGGCCACATTTCATGTGATTTTCAAGTGTTCCACTCAACACATTGGATCCCAAATTCAAGTAACTAATTTTCGGCAAAGAGAAAAGTTCAGAAGGAGTAGTTCCTGTTATTCTATTGAAGGAAATATCAAGCTGCTGAAGACTATTTAGTTGACCATATTGTTTTGGAATTTGACCTGAAAAGAAGTTCCGGTTGAGGAAAAGAGTTATCAACCCTTTCGGCATTTCAGGTAGCGAAGAATCGAATTCATTTTCTCTTAAATCTAGCTCTTCCAAGCTACTCATATCAGTAAAATCTCGCAAGCTTCCTGATAACTGATTTCTCGACATGTCAATGTTAGTCAAAGTTTTGATACTAAGGATCGAAAATGGAAATGGACCCTTCAACTTATTATGCTTCAAACTAAGAACTGTGAGAGTATTTGATGAATTGAACAAGTTAGGGACAGTACCATTGAAGAAGTTATCACTCAAAATAAGAGTTTGAAGGTTGAACATAGTAGAAATTTTCGGAGGGATCGATCCATAAAGAAAATTCGAACTCAAATCCAAATACTCAAGTGAGAATAGTCTATGAATTGTATCAGGAAGTGGTCCCCAAATTCCTAAAGAAACAAGATGAAGAACTTTCAAGCTAGTTAGCCTTGCAAGAGTGGCCACAAATGAGTCCAATGAGAAGGTTTGTGTCAGTGTTTGATTTGGAATAGCAAATCCATCAAAATCTCTACCATTATTTGGCTTATCACCAAAGATAGTTAGCTCTGTGACAAAATTGTCCTTGCATGTAACTTTCACTTGTGTAGAAGAAATAAAGCAAATTTCTTCCCTATGATCTTTCCATATTTCTAACTGTGTTGGAAATTCTAAGTGCTTTTGTAATTGTAGAAGAACTTGAGTCTGAGAGGATTGTAACTGACCACTGCAAATTCCCACAAAAATGACACACCAAACATAGCAGAATAGCAAAACCAAACCATGAAACTCCATGGAAAATTTCTATGGAAAGTGCTTCAAAGAGGAGCAATAGAAACTAAGGGAGAATCTGTCCTACATAAATGAAAAGGAGGCAGCATTAAAAAAAGTTGAAATCTAACAACAACAATAAAAACAATAAATTATTATTCTATATCTTTGGCAAAATCATTGACCTCAAAGTCTTAACTTCTCTCCATATGATCTACTTTTTTTACTATAGAATCTACAAGTCTTTTCCACACATGTTTAGAGCCTAAGACTAACATGAGGCTGGCTTGCATAGAAACTAAAATGGTCTACCTCATTCTGAATTATTCACTAGGAGGTAGTTGTGAAAACATTAATGCACAGAATGCTGAGACTTAAAAAAACAGTTGAAAAGTTGAAAAAAAAGGACTTAAGCAAGATGGCTATAAATGAAGGAAAATAAATGCTACTACTATCTATGTGGCTAAAGAAAGAAAAGAAAGATCAAGTTTGGTATAGCCTTTGCTCAGAATCCAAGACATGAAAAAGTGGGGCATACCTGAAGTTAATACATTTACTGCTTCCACCACATGTGCTCTTTCTTCTGCAAACATCAATAATGATTCTTCAGAAAGAGAAGAACAATTATGAGTATGATTCTTATCAAGAAAATAACCAAAGCCAGGGTGGTAAGTGGTAACAAATGGAATATAAGTTGTGAAGAATAGAAGACAGAGAAATAAAACATAGGAGTGATGGAGCATGTTGATATATGTTTGTTTATGATACTGATATGAATAATCTAAAAAATTTCAAGTGCCATATGGTAGGACCTACAATCATCTATCTATCCTGAGTTTTAACTTTTTTTCATTTTTGTGTTACTTGGGAAATGAAATTGTTTAGACTTTATATTATGACTTGTTTATTTTATAGTAGCTAATGAAAACTTCATGTTACTATATATGTGTTGTGTTCTTTCTTTCTGTCTCTCTTTTCTTCACTTGGCTTCATTATTTGAGAGAGTGACCTTTCTTAATTATTGTTTCTAACATTGAGAAAATAATTGGAGTTGATTAGAGTCTAATTTTGGTCCCTAATTTAATCCATAATTAGTAAGTAAATTAACAACTAGTTTGCAAGTATATATAACTGCATTGCATTGATGTTTATATTTTTGGTCCCATCATGAGTCTTAGGTAATGCTAGTCTTTTTCATTTATGCTCTCAAATTTCCCATTGTTTGGCTCTTCTCAAATTTCCCAATGTTATTATCCTTAACAAAAAAGTAGCACTTATTGAATGGCACTGGCAATCACAAAAATATTTTTCTATCTTAAGATAACAAACCAACAAGAGGTAAATTGCATAACAGCCTGTCACTGCTTATGATCAGAAGAGCACAATGCCAATTTTGCTATGGCCTCCACATGCATCTTCTTGAGGTTATCTGATTAACTTATATGATGAAAATTCTATGATGTACTCATCTCTTTTGTCCTAATCTTTCAGGTTGAAATTTCAATATCATTATGACAGGCTGAATAAATAGACAAGGATTGAAGGTTGAATAGATAGATAAAAAGACAAGAAATATTTTTAGCAAAAAAATGTATTTTAACATATATTTGACAATAAAGGTTGAGTTTGGCAAGCAATGTTTGGTTGATAAATCGGACCAACTTTAATAATAATGGATTCAAATGAATTACACATCCATTTATTGTATTTATACACTGTGGTCACTGCTTTTCATTATTCTTTTGCTGGGATTAAGTTAAAGGTTTTGGTTTTGGAAAAGTAGGTTTTCATTGCTTAAAAATAAAAGTACATTTACTTTGATGCATCATAATCTATGTAACACCGACACCTCTGAAATAAAACGTGTACGTGTTGATATCGAACACCTATACCGACATTTATATTTATCTTTAATTTATTTATTTTTTCAAATTAATATTAATATCGTCGTGTTAGTGTCGAATTCAAATCGAGGATATCCGTACTTCATAGACCAAAAGATGTTTGGTGACTTGGAGTTAGAAAAGAAAGGAGAATAATGGAATATATGTGGGGAATAGGAAACTTTACAGTGCATTATTATTCAAATAAACTTTACAATGTTTTGAGGGATAGAAAAATATAATATTTTAGTAAATTATATTATGTTAAACATAATAATACTTAATTCATTTTGTATTTTTTTTTTGTGACAACTCCTAATATTAATGTTGTAGGGTTGTTTGATAGTTTTATGGTTGTTGTTAGTGTAGAACAAATTCACTGAGGAATAGTGAGGAGCTTTATGTGTATGTTGTTTCTATACCAATTGAATGTCCTCTTTAATCCATTGGCTGAAGTATTTATAGATGTTGGTAGGGTCTAGATTCTTTAATCTATGGAACGGTTATTCTCCTCGTCTGAGGAGTACCAGATCCATAATCTTTAAACTGTGGGGCAATGATTATTAGAAATTAAATTTTAAAAAATAATATTTTCTAAAAAAAGAAAATAAAATTATAAAATTTAAAATATAAAAATATAGGTGAAGTATGGTAGACAAAGACAATTTATCTATAGGGAATGAATAGATCTCAAGTTATTTTTTTTTTTGAAAAATTAATTTTAATGTTTTTGTTAACTATGAATAGTGGAAAACAATTATTGATAAAAAATATTGTCTAATCTGAACCATTATTAAAAAATTTGAATATGCGTAAAACCAATATGAGATGCAATGAACGTGATAAGTACTTAGCCAATATATTTTCACAATCTCTTGTTTGAATATGATCACAAAGACAATCTATTTCCAATGAAATTTATAATAAAAAACAATGCTAAGCAAATTATCAAACACTTGGTGTGCAATCGATTTTTTCAGATTTTCCTTTTGGTTTTGTTGATATGAAAAACAAATTACAATCTTATGAATTGTAATCTAATCAACAAAACACTTTCAAGTTTGATAAACAAAGGATTTTTTGTACGTATCGATTGCACAATCAATAAATTTAATAATTTGCAGTTGAAAGTAAATGAGATAGATAGATAGATAGAGATAAATAGATAGATAGATAGATAGATAGAGAGAGGGGGGGGGGGGGGGGGGGGACAAGATGATTTGTTTAGCCAATTCACCAATCGTCCTCGCTATGGCTACGTCTGCCTCAAATTCCATTCGGAATAGAGATATCAATCTTACTTTGCAAAAATTGTTTACAAGATAAAAGTAGCAATACAACCATACAAACCCAAATGTTTGATTTTGATCTTAACTCTTTCTCTTCCCTTGATCTTGAGCTCAATCAAGTCACCCAACAAAACCAATTTGATCTTCTGGTTATCGTTACTCCTTTGACTGAACCATTATTCTTCAAAGCTTTCACTCGACTGAATCCAAATTGTGAATTATTGTCACTCAAGATTTTCAACCGATCCTTCGGTTACCGTTACTCCTTTGACCGAACCCACCGTTCTTCGAAACTTTCACTCAACTGAATCTGAGTTGCAAAATCTTGAACTAAACCCCCAAATCAATTCTTGATCTTAAAGGATAAACCTAACTGATTTTTCCTAATGAAAACCCTTAAAAAAATCTCAACCCAATTTACAATTCAAAAATCTAAATTGGATGTTATCAACTCTGAATCTAGATGGCACCTAACAAGAATGATTATGTGTAATTATTGTGTGTATGCATATATGAGAGATTGAAGATGAAGAGAACTGTCTTTGTATGTTTATCGTTTCATCATATTTCAAATGATGCATATATATATGTGTGTGCGCGTGTGCGTGTGTGTGTGCGTGTGCGTGTGCGTGTGTGTGTGTGTATGTGTGTGTGTGTGTGTGCAATTGGAGGAAAAATAGAATGCAAGAAGTTTAAAAAAAATCACAAAACTTAGAAAATTTGATCGTATGTATCTACCTATATAAGTCATGTGTCGACACATTCGATGCATGAGTCGGCTTATATATGTCATGTGCCGACACATACATTACACAGCCTACAAGCTTTAAAAATCATTTGCATGTGTTGACTCATACGTCGTATGTGTCGACTCATAGAAGTAATTTTTCTTTTATGTGTCGATCTGAAAGCTATCATGTGTTGGCACATGTATTACAGAGCCTGCATGCTTTAAAATGCAACCACATGTGTTGACTCATAAGTCTATTGTGTCGACTCATGAACCTGTTTATCACTTGAAATCTAATTTTTAATGTGTGAAACCTTTTCAGACGTGATTTTAAACTTCCTAATACTCAGATGCACATCAAGACTCAGAGAATACCTTCCAATATACAACGCTAAAAAGGTCCTAGTTTTGACATCATACAAAATATCTCTAATGTGAAAATACACTCACATACTCCCTCTTTTTGATGATGGCAAAACTTGGGACGATGTGTTTGGTGTCTTCATGAAGGCTTCCCTTAAATGTGTTCATTATAGCTTCGTCTTGCAGATGTTTCTCCCCCCTTGGAAACAACAAAAAGAGACAAAGCAAGCCATGAGAAGTATCATATAGATACAACATAACACATATATCATATATCAAAATCCACATAAAGGCGTTTGTAAAGAAGGAACATGCACTCACATATTCCACATATGTGAAATGATGTAAAATTGAAATGCTTAAATATAAGTAAAAAGACAACTCAAACAACATTATCACATTGTTCCAAAAATCACCCCAATAACAAATAAAAATAACATAAAACCATTGTTTCACTTCAATGAAGTGATAAGATTGTCAAGATATAAACATAGCATCAAAGCTTGAAAAAGACACAAAATGCATAATAACTCAAAACATGAAATGCATGATAGAATTTTTCCAAAAGGGGTTTGATCCAAAATCCCAAGAACTCATAACTTTAATTTCCTCCACGACCTCTAGGACCTGGCCTCACACCATGATGCCAACTGTGTCCATCATTTCCATATTGGCGATCCAAGAAACCACACATGTATCTTTTCCTTTTTGAGTGATTTCAACTACTATATAAAAGAGTGACTTCCTCCTTTAGAATCA